TTTGTGTTGTTACTTTGTCGTCACCTATATTAGAATAAACCTAACAGGCAGTGAGGAAATGCACAGCTGAGAAGGACACAAAGGAAGAGGAGAACAAGACAGCTAAATTAATAAAAAGGTCTAAAATAGGTAAGGAGGTGAAGACAGCCGAAAAGAAATGTCGTGTTTTATCAAGCTTATCTCTGCTGTCTAGATGATGAGTGCAAGGAGTCCACAGAGCTGACTTAGCCACAACAGGAAGCGAAGCCCAAGACACTTGAGGGGGAGGAACTACCCCCTCCTTACACAGACGCAGCAAGTGGAACGCAAACACTCACAGGGCTGTATCCGGTGATTGAAGTCACAAACGGCAGGGTGCACATAACAGATAGTGGCACTGGATAGTCTATACTGGTGGGAGAGAGCAAACCCTCCACCAACCCCTTTATGCCCGATTAAGAAAACACCAACGACGCAAGGGAGCGTGCCTCTGCTCCTCCATCTGCATACACCTTTCCATTCACTGAGTTGTATGGAGGTGGAGCGAACTCGTTTCCCACTAGTACCCCAGCAGTGGGATTACGAACACCCCAGCAATTCACGTCAGCAAAAAAGAAATGAAGCCAAAAGAAGGTGGTAGTTACCTCCCGGATGACGGGTGCTCTGGTGGATTCAGACAAAACAGAAGACAATGATAGTGATGGCACTAGAGCACCTACCTCCCCTATACACATTATGCAATTGAGATCTTGGAAATCAAAACAGTTAGGAGCGACAGGAGGTCAATATCCCCTATTGTGAGGCGAGTTAGGGGAGACCAATTACAGGCCATATTTGTTCGTCTCCTCCATTGTAGAAAAGATGCCCAGACCCCGCGAAGGCAGAGGATTGTGGATGTATAAACTGGCCGAGCTAACTACGGGTGTAACATTCTCGTTAGGAGATTTTAGAGCTATAGCCCAGAGGATGATATCTAGGGCAGAGTTACAGGAAATAGAGGGCTCCGCTAAAACACTTATATTGGTCGATGTACACATGCGCAATTAACTCGGGTAGGAAAAAACTATAGGTAGGAAAAAACTTCAGAACACCGGTGTGCACTGGCTCCAGTGGTACCAGGTGTCTCCTTTCCCTTTTAGTCTCACTGCGTGGGACGTCCGTTCCACCACCTGGTAAGGGCCTGTCCACCTGGGTTCTGACCCCTTCTGCTTTATCACCTTGAGAAGGACCCACTCGGCTGTGTGAGGTTCCACTCTGCCTGGTGTCTCCTGTTCACCTTTTACCTGTAATGCAAATGCTGACACTAAAGATTTAAGTTCATTATAGTACGGTTTGTACTGGTACCTGACATTCCACTCCCCTAGTTTTAAATGGACCAGCCGGACCGGGAAACTGTCGACATGTGAGAAGCTCATGTATACTGTGTCTCGGCGTTCTTAAAATTTGAGCCATTATCTGATCGAATGTGCTCTGGAAACCCGTGCTGTGCAATGTAATGATTTATCAGACATTTAATCACTGTCGTGCTGTCTTCTCTCTTTGCAGGCCACGCTTCGGACCACCTGGTGAATGAGTCCACTACCACTAAGAGATATTGACACCCCTGGTACTTCTTTATCATCACAATCACTCGTTTACCCTCACTCCATTTTTGCGCTCCTATCATAGCTAAAACTTCTGCTCTTTGCACTGACTGGCTGCCCGTGACCTTCTCCTGACAGATCACTTCAGTCTTTTCCATCCCTTCTTACCACTGCATATCCTGCCTGTAATTCATTATTGGGTTTTCTGAAGCAACAACCACCTGAAACAGAACTCCATTCACCATCCCTTCTGTTTCAGAAACATCCAAATGAAATGGTGCCGAGTAGTCTGGTATTGCCAGTTCTATTGCTCAAGCCAGAGACGCTTTGAGGTCAATGAAGGCTCTCTCTGCAGGCTCAGTCCATGCTAGTGGGGCGATGAGATTTTGAATCCCTTGATCATTAACCAATTTTCAGGGGGCGCGATCAAGGATATGCAGCCTGGAAAGTAATGCCGGCTATATACCGTCAAACCCAAGAATGATAGCATCTCTTTAATCACTTGGGGTTTGGTGTGATGTAGGATATTGTCTTTGTGTGCTGGGGACATGCCTGACCCTTTGCCTGACAGTGTTCGGCCCAGAAATGACACCTGTAGTCTGACCACCTGCAGTTTTTCCTTACTAACCTTAAATCCTTTCTCCGCCAGGCGAGTGAGCACTGCATGTGTTGCCCGTAAGCAGTCTTCAGCAGAAGTTGCTGCAATAAGGATGTCATCTACATATTGGACTACAGTAGTGTCTGGGGATATGGGGCATCCTGTAAGCATTTGTTTCAACACATGATTAAACAGTCCTGGAGACAGACTGAAACCTTGGGGCAAACGGGTATATCTCAGCTGACGGCCCTTATATGTAAACGAAAAGATATCCCTGCAACTGGGATGCAATGGGATACAGAAAAGCCAAATCAATGCATGAATACCAGGTCTGCTCAGGCGTGAGGTCTGAAAGTGCCATATAAGGGTTTGGCACTGGTAATATAGCGGTAGTCACTACAGCATCAATGGATCGTAAATCATGTGCCATCCTATACTTTGTAGTTCTGGGTTTTTTCACAGGGAGGATGGGCGTGTTCCATGCACTCTGTGAGGGTTCTAGCACCCCCTTTTGGAATAGACCTGTTATGGTATCACACTTTTAATGATGGAGAGAACTGGACATGCGGTATTTGCGTGTCCTGCCAATCTGTGCCTGCCTTACACCTCATAACCACTGGGCCGAGTTCTTTTGCCTGATGTTTAGGACGAATAGCTAGTGACACGTGGGGCACTGCTCTCAGCCTGCATTCTGAACCACTCTGACTGTTCTGGAGTCAACTGAACGTCAGCCGCCACTTCCTCCTTGGCCACGAACAACCGGTCTGTTTTTATGAGCCAATTACGCCCTTCG